ATTTTTTCCATCTGGGCATTGACTGCTCTAAGATCTTGGAGAAGTCTGTATTTCCCTGATTTCTTTTTAATAACAAATATTTGGGTATTATGTTTACTGAGAGAGTGCTTGATGTGGCCAAGCCTCAATTGTTCAGCTATCAAATTTTTGAGGGCAGATAATTTAGGTTCTATTCTAGGCCACTGGTCCACCCAAATGGCATCATTGCAGATCCAGGTGATGGGGATTGGCTCAGGGGCCAAGATTGGAGTCAATCCTGGGTGGTCAGTGGCCATTAAGATTGGGGGTGTTGGGCAAAGTGTTGTCCTTTCCCTGATAGTCTCAAGTTATCGTGCAGCATGATATCATCATAAAAGGCATGGTCATCTTTGTTAAAGACTGTGCCCATGTCCTCTAGGATATCTCGACCCCATAAGTTTCATGGAATGTCTGCTACTATTGGGGTACCTGTGCACTGGTTCCCATCCAAGTCCTTCAAATATACTGGATGTGTGACCAGCTTGGTACCTTGTGTGCCACCAACTCTTTTTATTGGTGGGCCTGACTGGTATTTGCAATGAGGGAATTTAAGGGATTCAGTTTCTGATATAATGGTGGCATTAGCCCCTGTGTCAACTAGGCCCTTTATGGCAGTTCCATCTAGGAACAGGGTTATTAGTGGGGAATGGTTGAGGATTGGGAGAGTCCTTAATATCTGTCTCATTTCTGCTCTTGTGGGCGGGGCTGAGGGGCTCCCTAGGTAGAGTTTAAAGGAGCCAAGTCTGGTTGAGGCTGTGACCTACAGTCTTTAGCCCAATGGAACCCTTTTTTGGGCTTGGGGCAGTGATTCTTGGGGTGGACTGTACCTCTTAGGCAGTGGCTTCAAAAGTGGCCAAGCCCCCCACAGTTCCAGGAGCCTTCCCGTGTGCCAAAGTGGGTGGGTTTTCCTTGTGATGAAAGAGTCTCCAAGGAGGTGGTCAGAGCCTCAATTGGGCCTGCCCTGGGGTCTAAGTCTCTAGTAGCGAGTACCCATTTGTGAATGTTATCATTGCGGACAGGCGCGATAGCATTACGAGTAGGGGTGTTTAGTCCTTCCCAAGCTAACTGTTTGATAAGCACCTCTCGGGTGGGTCCAGACTCTACCCTCCGCTCTACTTCCTCGGTGACACAGGTAAGGAAGTCCATGAAGGACTCCCCTGACTGTTGAATCAAATTACGGAAAAAGACTTGTGGGTCATGGGGGAGCAACATTTTAGGGCCTTAAATGCCAGGTCAGAAACTTGTCGAAAATAGGCATGGAGGCCAATAGTAGACTGGAAGATGAGGTCAATATATTGTCCGCATCCTGTGAGCATGTCCAACATAATGTTGAGGCCATATTGGAGATTTAGGCATACCCTGGTTTTCAGCCAGATCGTCATAGGCTGTGCGCCAGTTTAGAAAGACTGAGGGTTCTAAGACTGCCTTTAGTAAGTTATCCCAATCATAGTGGGTTTGTAAATGTAAGGACCACTGGTGAAGAACCTGTTTGAAATATGGGGAGTCAGGGCCCGATTGCTCAGCTGCCTTGCAGATAAGAACGAGGTCAGCAAGTGGGGTGGGCAGCCATGGGCACTGTGCCACATTGTGGCTGATGTTAACCGGAAATGCGGACAAAGGCGGGTGAGGGTTTAAGGAGGACGGTCTAGGAGGGTGGAGCACGTTAGCAGGGGAAAGGGTGGGATGGTTATTGGGGGGGAGAGTAACTCCTTCCACGGGTAATGCAGCGGGGGAATTTCTAGGAATGGTAGCTCTAGGAGAGTATCCTGAGATATAGGCAAAGGAGCTCCTTCCTCATTGGAAGTGGGCGCAGAGGCAGCGTCCACCTCCGGGTCTGGGAGGTCCGGGGTCAATGTAATAGCCAGATCTACACTAGATTGCTCCTGGCAGTGTTTGTTGTGGGCTGAGATGACTTCCTCAGGAGAGGAGGATTTAAGGCTAGCAATGATGGCCAGGAGGATCGTTACAAACAATGCGGGGGGGAGTGGTCCCTGACCCAACCTCCCTTTTTCGGGCCAGGAAGAGGACCCACATCCACATGTCAGGGTCTCACTTGTTTTCAAGGGAGACCCACAGAGCTAAATTAGTGGCTTCATCCCAAAATTGTTCGATATCCTTTGGTTTTACTTTCAGCTCTCTGGTTTTAAGGAGCACCTTGAGTGCTGCCATTTGTGGTTCCCTGCATTGTGGTGGTAAATTGCCCATTGTGGGAGGGTCTCGTGAAGGGGAATTCACCACAAAGTAGAAGATGAGGGTGACTACCAAGAAGGCACAAAGGAAGCAAAGAAGCACTGTGAGCCACTCGGATGTAAACCACCCCAACATATAAAGGTGTATCGGATCCAAATGTCTGTGCTCAGTGAAGGGCTTCTGGAGGCTGTGACACCTCCAGCCGTATGCTCACACAGTGTCTCCAGGATGGGCAACAGGGTGACCTGAAACCTGGGCTCTGAGTTTGGGGTGGATCAGCCCTTATGAGAACTCACCGGGATGAGCTGAGAGGGGGAAGTTGCCAACATGGGCTTCGGGAACACGTGCAGGGTGTGCCTCCTTGATCTAACAAACTAATCCAACAATAAAGACAACAAACAGGGTGGAGGGGACAGAGGAGGGGGCTACTCGCTCACCCTCGAGCAACCAAAGAAACAGACAAATCCAGGGGCCTTCTTACTGAACGAACAACATCATGGGCAGGGGTCCCTGTTCAGGTGGCAGGTGTTGTAGGTTCTCCTCAGGCCAGCTGTAAAGACCCTGACTTGGATTGGGTCCCCTGCTGGTTAGGGGGGGCAAGAGGCATAGAGTCAATATACAGTCACCGGGAGTCAGGTAGAAGCAAGCACTAGGCCAGGTGCTGTGCTCATTTAATGCAGGAGGTGGCAAGCCTTATATTTCCCTTTTCTCTGCCCCCAAGTCCCTTTAGTCAGCATATCATTTTCTGATTGGTCTGTGCCATGCAGTCTGTCAGCAGCCACTGGGCTCGTGAGCAGGGTATGGGGGAATGGGCTCCTTTTGGCGGGCTATTTGCAGACCAAGAAGTGAAGTGAATTCTTGCTGAATCCCAGGGCTCTGAGTCCACACCATCTTTGGAGGCCTCCTGCTACAGAGAACCAGTCTAAAAGTGGCATCAGCATTTCCTAGGTTTGGGGTCCTTCCCCGAACATAAGTAGAAAGCAAGCCTAGAGCATGCATTTGTACCTCTCTGCCTCCATCTGTGAGTGTGATGTGACCAGCTTCCTCACGCTCCTGCTCCAGTGATTGCCATGTTGTACCTAACTTTGAACTGTGGGCCAAATAAATTCTCTCTCCCTTGAGTTGTTTTGTGACAGTATTTTATCCCAACAACTAGAGAAGAAACTAGGAATGTACTGTGCCTATCACCTGTTGGATCCCTTATCAAAGAGGTTATCCTTTAGGGTGCTAAGATTTTTTTTTTCTGATCCCACTTTCTATCCCCATGGAGATCTATTGCTGGTCAGAAAACTGGATGTTAGTGTCCATGGAAAAATACAGCAATAATTTCCCCCTCTGGACTCTGTAGAGTTGTAAAGATACAAATGCTACCATAACGGACATGAATATCCCATCTCCTTGAAAGGTCACAGGAACTCATCATCTGTTGGAGTAGCAGTAACATCAAAGGGGGTTTCCAGTGTCTGGGGATGCCTTCAAATGAACCTTTGTCCTCAAATGCCTGTATTCTAGCCAGCTTGGTATCCATAGGAGTTTCTGATCTTCAAATTGTATTTTTTTTTAGTAACTTCCCTTTTTTACTTATGAAATATCTGTTTTGTCAGTACATTCTAGAAAATGAGATAATATGTGTAAAATTGTATGGTAGACATGTATATAGTTCAGAACGATACAATTGGGTTCATATTTCATTAGGAAAAGTTTCTTCATCTTTCTTCAAATGAGAATGGTGTGTGTGTCTCTTGTTCTTTTCTTTGGCAGGTGATTGTAAATGAAATGCAGTGGTTTTACTTTGGCAACGTTATCACAGGAAGCAAATAGGGAGAAATCACTCTTGCATGTAGATGAAGAAAATGGAAAAATTTCTTCCAGAAAGCAGCTTCTGCTTGGGAGTCTAATGAATCTTTTTGTGGTGCACCAAAATCAAGGCAATGATTTTTTTCCCAGTGGCAATTTATTTCGAGTTTATTACTTGTGGCAGATTCCTTATACTTTAAATGTGAGGTCTTCAGCAGGCCTATGGGAAGCCAGCCATACAGTGCATTGAGTGGAAGTAGAATCAGAGCAGTTCCTCTCGATGCACAACTCTTACACTGTGACATTAGTGTTGCTTTGGTTAAACCTTTATTTTAAAGTACTCTATCATCTTACAATAATGGTGTTTTATTATGCCTGCTAATCTGGTATTTTGAATACCTTTTACATATTTACTATAAGTAGTTGAAAATACTGTAAAAAGAAGAAAAGGTGAAAACATTTTTTGGTGAATATATTGAAATCTGTTCTGGGAATAAATATATTTTGGCTTCATATACATAATGTGAGGTATTAATGTAATTAATAGATTACATTAATATATTATCATAATATAT